TTTTCTTTTCGTTACTTTTTTTTCCCTTTGGTTTTTTTGTTACGCCTATGGAGAATCCAAAAGAAGAAACTCCCTCGCCCCACCCCCCCACCCCTTTGCTTTGCTTTATCCCAAGATACGTCGATTCAGTGTATTCATCCTCGTGCCTCTTCATGTGTATTCATGTATCTCTTGAATTCATGAATCTCGTGAATTCATGAATCCTTCGATTCGTGTATCTCTTGGATTAATATATCCCTTAGATACATAAACTTTAAGACTCTATATATAGAGGTCTCCCCTTAGTTCAAAGGTATGTACTTCCAAACACAATTTCCATAGCAATCTTCCAAGTGTGCTGGTTTCGAGCAGTGTTCGACAGAGTCCTATTCGTATAGTGCAAATACCAACAAGTTCGAGGTGTTGTATCTTGGGAGGCATAATTCGCGAAGCTGCTGCGCACCGTAGGCAAGAACTAATCGCCTTTAGGAGATTCGGTTAGTATCGTACCTCACCTCTAGATCCCTTTTGTCATTTATTCTTTGAGTCTTTGGTCATCAAGAAGCCATCGAGTACTCGGAGAAGACATCGAGGACTCGGAGAAGCCATCAAGCACTCAGAGAAGTTCACGATATCTAAAGAAGCCATTCGACTACTCGAAGAAGTCATGAAGAAGCCGTCGAACCGTCGAACACAAGACGAAATCGTCAATCGATTACTGGAGTTATATTACAACCAAGTAAGTTTATATTTGGTTTGTAATTGTATCATCGAGTACATCAACTTGATCATTATATTGTTATCATCTTCTTCATGTAATAGATTTCTGATTACTACAAACAGTATTATGTATTCTCCCCAATATGTGTTTTTCGGTGCTTGTGCGCGTGTGCACACATATCTTTCCAACAACCTTAAGGCGTTAGTCGTTTATCGATTAATTGATTTGTTGTGATTATTTACTATTTGTTTGGTCATCAAAAAATCGAGGTGGTTGATAACAACGAAGTACCCATTGATGTCGGAAATGTTCTTGGAAATGTTCCTTTGGTCGACCCAACCGCTGCCGTTGGAGGGGTTCAAACCTCGAGGCCTAAAATTGTGGCAGTTAATGCTGCGAGCCTTCGGGCTAGTACCATCTTTGGTGGTACGGGTATACATCAACAGGCTTTGCCTCCCTTGATGGTACCATCTCATACACCGAATGAGAAATCGGAGAAATTCACCGGCGTGGGTTTTAAACAGTGGCAACAGAAGATGTTCTTCTATTTGACCACATTGAATCTGACCAAGTATTTATCGAAGGTGTGCCCGATAATTAGTCCAAATGAGCAAGATGTCACAACGCTCGTGGCGTTGGAGGCTTGAAAGAATGGGGACTTCCTATACCAGAATTATATTCTTAACTATTTGGACAATTCCTTATACAATATTTATTGTAACTTTGGAAGTGCTAAACAGTTATGGAAGTCCTTAGAAAAGAAAAACAAGACTTAGGACGCAGGCACCAAGAAATTTGTGGTAGCCAAACTCCTGGAATTCACAATGATAGATTCTAAATCTATCATGAATCTGATTTAGGAATTACAAATAATTCTGAACGACATCTTTGTTGAGGGAACGATACTTAGTGAATCATTCCAAGTTGCAGCTATAATTGAAAGGTTGCCTCCGTGCCGGTTAGGCTTCAAAAATTATTTGAAGGATAAACGGAAAGAGATAAGTCTTGAAGATCTCATTCTTCGCCTCCTAATCGAGGAGGAATGCTAATCCTATTGTTGAACCAAAGGCCAACGTAGTTGAGTCTTCCAATTCCACGCAAGATGAGCTCGGAAAGTTTCTTGCAACAGGTAGTCCGCAACATCAGGTTCCAAATCACATCTACGAAAGTCGGGTGCGCTTTGACTGTTTGCTGGAAGGAACAGGATCAGATTTTTCTGGCAGAGATGATTTGAGGGGGTTGTAGCAGTCTAGAGTCACAATCATCTTTTCAAGCTTAACAAGATATGCGGACATTGAACCGAGAGAGACTTGGCTAGCCTTGATGTCAGCCTGAATAGGTGCCAGGGTTGAAGAAACAGGGGCTTCCACAGGGGGTGTGGACCTAGATGGACGAGGAGGTCGAGGTGCACTGTTCTTGGGAACAGGAGCTGGTTTCTTCAACTTCTGAACTGCTGAAGTGCTGCCTTTTAATTTCCTAATATAATTTAGGACATTAAAAGCTCTTCTTCAATCATGGTCATAGACACTTAGTCGGTCAGTTCCGACCAAGCACATATACGAACATACGAATCAAAGTGAACAGTCAATTATGGTCAATGGGAATAGGAAATACAATCAAAGTGAACATTAAAATACGGTCAAAAAGTGAATACTGATTTGGTGGAAAGGTTGTAATATTAGGGGAAGTGGAGTTTGAAATGATTGAGAAAGGACATTAGAGTCAAAAAGGAAACGAAAGAAAGATAGAAAGAAAGGAAAAGAAAGAAGTAAAAGAAAGGAGAGAGAGAGAAAAAGACTCGGCGAGAAGAGACGACAAACAAGAAGCGAGAGGCCTCGCGCAGGAGGAGAAAAGGAGGAGAAGAGAGAGAGAGAGAGAGTACACGGAAGTAAGGGAGAGTTTGTTGAGCAGAGTGACGCATCAAGGAAAGTCACAAATTCCACGGCCATAGAGTCAAAATCAGCCAAAACCATCGACTTCCCTAATACACATTTGAACAGCTACATAAGTTCATGCACGTCTATGATATTTAAAGAAGAGGAGGGAGCGGGAGTGTTTGGTGAAGAGGGCGTTGGTGGAAGCAAATAGAGAACATAGCAAAGAGAGAGAAGAAAATATATATGTGTGTTCAGATGAAATGAATTTAAATACAAATTATGGAAAAATAGCGTCTCCACCACTACTTTACTGTTTGGCCAAAAATAAATAAATAAAACTCCTCTATTTGTGACGGAAATTCCATAAGTCAAAGCTCTCTCTTGTGATTCTGGTCCCACATTCAAGGTGGACCATTAGATCAAAGGGAGAGAAAACGTGGTCCATCAAATTTGTTTTGCAAAACCGATGTTTGTCATAACTTAGACACAATGAAGGAAAGTTACGGATGCAACAATTGATCGAATTTACAGATTGAGAAAAATCACAAGCGTAATGAAAATTATTAAAACATAGGCCTCAAACCTTTACTAAGAGTAAAATAAAATTACGATCAATTCAAATATTTTACTAAAAATATGCAAAAGAAATTTACTTTTAACCGAATAGGTTACTATTCACAGGCTCTAGAGAACTTACGACCACCAAGGAAAAATTAAACCCTCCAAAAAAAGTTATGTAATGAAAAATTACAAATAAATTACTATTAGTGATGAAAATTACGTATGCCACAAGAATGTTACAATTCATTAGATAATTTATTAACAGTAGAAGAAGATATTCATTAGGTAGATACTATTTTTTGTGAAATATTACAAATCATAGGATTCATGGAGTTTACGACAACAAAAGGAAATTACATAATATGAAAAAGAGAGATAGTCATAGAATGATATGTAACCAACATATTACTATTAGTGAGGAAAATTACAAATAGGGAAAATCACGAACAACTAGACAGACCCGGTCTGTTTTCCCTTCTTGAGTCAAGTTCAGCCTGAGTATTTCAATCAAAGGGAAGAGCCAGAGCAAAGCAAACAAGGGAATGCATCAGTTCATTTTAGGGCGTTCTTCTGTGGTGCTTAGTGCACCAAATTCTTGTTTCTTTGTTCGCTTGTAACCCTCTCAAGAAGAGGAAAACGAGTGGAAGCGATACAAATGCAGAAAATAAGGGCACCGACAGATCGTCTACATATTCGTCCATCTATCCAACGCCAACGGGCGCGGGGAAAGCGATCCTTGCGATGTAGTCTTGAGCTATAGAGGCTCAGGTACTCGCAAGATCGCAAGGGCTTCACTGATTACCTCACCATGAAATTCTTGAGCTTTAATCTCACTTGTTTATCCGTCTCACAGTAATATCCGTCCTTGATAAATTATTTCCACATTTGCCATCGCGAAATTTTAATTTTCTACAATAATTTACGAGATTAAATGCTCTTCTTCATTCATGGTCATGGACACTCAGTGGGTCACTTCCGATCAAGCACATATACGAACAGACGGTCAAAGTGAACATTCAAATATGGTCAATGTGAATAGGACATACGATGAAAGTGAACATTAAAATACGGTCAAAAAGTGAATAGTGATATGTTGGAAAGGCAGTAACATTAGGTGAAGTGGAGTTTGAAATGATGAGAATTAGGGGTGATCGGTTCCCGGTCCGGTCCGGTTCCGAGTGGAACCGGGAACCGGACCGGGAGAACCGGTTCCCAATTTTGGAAACCGTGGACCGGACCGTTTGGTCCTAGGACCGGGAACCGGACCGGACCGTCGGTCCGGTCCGGTTCCGGTCCGGTCCAATAGAACCGATCACTTAGGATTTAGTTTTTTTTTTGGTCAAATACTTAGGGTTTAGTTCACATTATACTAATTTTTATCAATGAATTTATATCAATGAAGTTCACTTAGAGTTTAATTCACATTTTACTAATTTTTATCAAAGAATTTATGTCAATAAAGTTTACTTAGGATTGAGTTTACATTTTATTAATTTTTTTGAAGAAAAAATATGTCGGTCCGGTCCGGTCAGTCCGGTCCGGTCCGGTTCCCCCTTGTAACCGGGAACCGGACCGCCCGGACACCGGTTCCATTTTTAGGAACCGGGAACCGGACCGGCACCCCTTAGAACCGCCCAAATAGTGTCGGTCCGGTTCGGTCCGGGCGGTTCCCGGTTTGGGCGGTTCCATTTGCACACCCCTAATGAGAATAGACGTTAGAGTCCAAAAGGAAAAGACGAAAAGATAGAAAGAAAGAAAGGAGAAAAAGAAAGGAGAGGGGGGGAGAGAGAGAGTGTCGGCGAGAGGATAAGATAAACAAGGAGAAAAAGAAAGGAGAGAGGGGGGGAGAGAGAGAGTGTCGGCGAGAGGATAAGATAAAACAAGGAGGGAGAGGCCTCGCGCAGGAGGAGAAAAGAAAGAGAGACAGACAGACAGAGCACACCGAATTAAGGGAGAGTTCGTTGAGCAGAGTGACGCTTCAAGGAAAATCACAAATTCGACGGCCATAGAGTCAAAATCAGCCGAAACCCCCAACTGGAGAGTGACAGTAGACTCAAAGAGCTTTCCATCCGTAGATAATTCACTCCGTACAGAGATCAGGAGGTCGGTCAAAAGGGGTCCGAAAACACCGTTTTTCGGAATGCCCGCCGGTGAAAGGATCAGCTGACACCCTCTTGGAAAGAGCCAAATTCGGTAAGCTACACTTAGAATCGGTGTACTAGCCATATACCGTTGGAAAATAGACTCGATCGTCGTGGAACCTAGGTCATAGCTTTTCGTGTTGGTATAAGTTAGGTCAAGATCTGACCACGTTTGTCGTGAGGAAAATAATCGAGTTCCATGTCAACCCAAAGCTTTCCATCCAGGTTAGTGAAAACTCTAGGCATGAAGTTAGATCGATCATTTTAGTACTCTTGAATTCGGTTGGTTGATGCCTACTTATTTAGTTTAAATTTTGATGTTGAATTTATATGAACTTCAAGCGTAACTTGCTGAGTTAATTGTTGGCTTGAATTGAAGAGTTTTATATATATGCTTGGGATATGTTTAAATAATTAGCAAAATAGTTGGTTGCATCTTGGATGGAGGAAAAAGGATAAATTGAACTAAACCTAAAGGTGGCAAAAAGTGCAGGCATTTAGAGGGTGAGGTCCATTGGGTAATAACTGCATGACACTACATTAGTTTGGCTAATGAAAATGGGATTAGACAGAAGGGGTTGCGAAAACGAGGTGGTGGACATAGTTAGGGTTGTTTATATATTAGGCTAAAAAATATAAGAGTTAGGTCGGAGATTATGATAAGGCATCGTGTGAGCTTATTATCATAGGAAGATGCTCCCATGGAGTTTCCTACATAATTTCAATATCTTGGGTGTGAATCGAAAGAATCCAGCTTTAAATATCGTAGACGTGCGTTAAGTTATGTAGTTGTTCAAATGTGTTTTAGGGAAGTCGATTAATTACACTTCAATCTGTTTCCATATGTGTGTAAATATTTAAATGTGTTTCAAAAATGACTTGGGCTATTTGGGGGCCTCTTTAGGGCCACCTAATCTTCCACACTGAAACGACTGTCAGCTTACTTAACTAAAGGCCGTGTCGTCATTGCCTAACTCTTTCTCCAGAACACGAACCTTCTTCAGCATTGCCTAGGCGGAGAAATTAAGAACACGTAATTAGGAGTGGACCAAGCCAACAAGCTTGACTTTGATTGGAGGGTGAGGTCCGAAAGAAGCTGACTCCACCTGTTTGTGAGCAGAATCCGAGGCTGTAAGGACACGAGGTATGCTGAACATTCTCAAGCACTTGATTTTTTACACACGATTAGCTGACCGAGGATCGTACGAGCTTCGCTCGCTTGATAAGTTAAGGACTACAAGCATTTGCAGAAAAGCATCCTAAGAGCATCTTTCTTTGTTCATCAATCCCTTTGGCCGCAGAAAAAGCTGTCTTTCGTTTCGACTAGACGTGCGTGAAGTTATGTAGTTGTTCAAATGTGTTTTAACAAAGTCGATTAATTACACTTCAATCTGTTTAAATATGTGTTTAAATATTTAAACATGCGTCAAATATGTGTTTCGGAACAAGTACTTGATGTGGGCATTCTGGGGAGAAATTAACGTACACGTTATTCGGAGTGGACCAAGCCAAACAAGCATTTGCAGAAAAGCATCATAAAAGCACGTTTCGTTTCAACTTCCTACCTTAGATCCTCATGGACAGAGTGTGACATTCCGGATTTTGGCCCATTTTTGGGATTTATAAAACGTGTAATTCGTCAGTGCGCTTATAATAAAATCTCGCCCGGAACTGATCACTCCTGGGTTATTATTTTTAAAATTAGAGATTTCGCTAGAATCGCACTTGATCGAATTTGGCCGTTATTTAGACCCCGAACTTGGCAGTCGATTTTCGGGAGTTTTGGGACGAAATAAATTGGACGGTGTCAATATTATGGTAGCCAACGTTGAGATTTTCAGGAATGATGGAAAAAGGGGAGTGTTTGACCACGTGCAAATTTGGACTAGTAGACCTCCCTCGTTATAATTTGGTCTAATTAATTTGGCCTTTGTCCCTTTTTATATGCGAGACTTATTTTGGACCGGTAGATCGTTTTCGGTTTTGAATTTGGACCATCGGTTTGCAAATAATATTTGAATGTTCAAATTATTTCTTATTCTATTTTCTCTCTCTCCTCTCTCTCTCCTCTGGCCGCGTGCGCGTCTGCCCCATGCAGCGTCCCCTCAGCCCATACCCCTTGCAGACCTACTCTCCCTGACACTCTCTCTCTTCTCTTTCCTTCTCTTCCTTTTTCTTTTTCTTCTTCTTCTTCTTCTTCTTCTCTTTCCTTGGCCGACTGGTTCGCTCCGCTTCTGCTAGAGCTCGCCTGACCGTCGTCGACCCCCTCCGCCTCCGCCGGACGCCGCCCTACTAGCCGCCGACGCCGCCGTCCGCCTCGCACCGTCGTCGCGCCGCCGCGCTGCCCAGCGGCTCCGTCCCGACTCGGTCTCTTTCTCCTACCCCTGTTTTCTTCCGCCCCGAGCTCGCCCTACCCAGCTCATTTCGCCGCCCGCGCCGCCGTCCGGACGCTCGTCGCCTCCCCTCGGCTCGCCACCGCCGCTCCGGTTTCCCTTCTCGGGCCCGCCTTCGCCCGCCATTCGGCGGCAGCCAGCTGCCCCCTCCTTGTTCACGGCCGTGCTAGGCATTTGCCGAAGTCGCCGCCGTCCGGTCTCCATCGCCGCCGCCGTGTCGCCCGGCCCAGAGCTAGCTTGCCCGAGCTCGCCCGGCCCACCGACCGGATGCTACTCGCCGCCAGTGGCTTGCCCCGTCAGCCGTCGATCGTCGTTCGGCCAGCCGGCTCGCCGTAGAAGCGTCTTGACCATGCTCGAGCTCGTCGGCCGAGTGTTCTCGGGGCCGTGGCCAAGTCGCCCAAGCCGTGGCCGAATCGTTGCCCGTGCCCGTGCCCGCGCCCACGCCCGTGCTTGTGCCCGTGCCCACGCCCGTGCCCGTGCCCGCGCCCACGCCCGTGCTTGTGCCCGTGCCCACGCCCGTGCCCGTGCCCGTGCCCACGCTCGTGCCCGTGCCCGTGCCTGTGCTCGCGCCCGTCGCCGTGCCCAGCCGTGACCGAGAATTTTGCCCGTGGCCGACCGCCGTGCCCGCGCGTGTGCCTAGTCCGCACTGTTCACCCGGGCCATTTTAGGCCCGAGCCGACTTTTCCCGGGCCAAACTTAGGTAAGTGGCTTCCTAAACCCTACCTAGTATTTTGGGTACTTTATTGACTTGTCTCGGGTTAGAACGGCTAGGACGTGTTTTAATTTAATTATATTATGTTACAATTGCGCTATTTAAATTGGATTAAATGATATGCTTGACTCGGGTAATGGTGTATGGCCGACTTGAACGTCGGGTTTGTGGACTGAGGTGGCGAATTGTGAATTGGACTGAGTTGTGAGTATGGGTTGTTTGATGCAATTGGCGTGAAATTGATTTAATTGATTGGCGTGTGCTTGCCTGTTTATTTTAAGCCCGGATTGATCGGAGGGCTACGGACTTGGGACGTGTTGACGGCGGTCCGTGTGAAGGCATGAATGGCCGATGTGCCAAATGGATTCGGGCTTGAGACGTGTTGACGGTGGCCCGTTAAAGGTGTGTTGGACCGGGACGTGTTTACGTCGGTCATTGGAATTTGAGCCCGGATTGATCGGAGGGCTACGGACTTGGGACGTGTTGACGGCGGTCCGTGAAAGGAAAGTGTGGCTTGGGACGTGTTGACGGCGGCCACTGGAATTGATTGAATGGTATGGCTTGGGACGTGTTGACGGCGGCCATTGGAATTGATCGAATTGTGAGGCTTGTGTGCCTGTGAGAATGAATTTGAGGCGCAGTGGCGCGAGTTGTGAGAAAGATGTTCGGACACGCATGTGATTTGAGTGTGACTGAATTGGCCGGTTGAGCGTGTGGCCGAATTGGCTGGTTGAGCGTGTGGCCGATTTGGCTGGTTGAGCGTGTGATTTAATTGACCGGTTGAACGTGTGGTTGCTTGGCTAAATTTGGTTAAATGCGAGTGAGATTGCGTGTGCCGGGTGACCGTGATATGATGATGAACTATTATTGCATTGTCATGTTTGGACTAATATGCAGGGTTGGCTCGTGATTCGAGGGCAAGGTAAGTATAATGATGTGAACTCTATATGTTATGGGGTAGTTTGCATGTACGACTTGTCTGGGTACGCATTGGCCTACGTGGGGTATAGGGGGTTGCTTATTGAGACTCGTTCTCACGGTTATTATATAACCATTTCAGATCCGCGACCGTGAGTGATGGGAGACGCTGCAAGGGTATCTCGGAGATCGAGGACGGGTCGAGTGTCCCGTATTTTGAGTTTCCCCTTTTGTAGAGGAGTTAAGTTCGCGAACCATTGTTCCTTTTGATGAGCGTTGTATGTATTTGCCAAGTGTAGGAATTACAGTTATTGTTTTGTGCTATTGTTACCCCTTGTCATTATTAATTGTCCGGGTTGTTTCTATTTGCTTCCGCGCGTGCCTAATCTCTGATGTTTGGGTTGGGTCGGCGACGCGTCCTGGGACGTCGCGTTCAATGATCGACCATCGCGGGATAATCGCGCGCTCGTAGGGTGCGGGGCGTGACATCCCCGTTGATTTGGTATCAAAGCAAGGTCAGCTCGATCCAAGTGGTCGAAACCTGGAGTGATAAGGAGCGATGACTTTGGGGTAGCCAGTTAGGGAGATTTGTTGGCCATGCGTTACCCCAGACTATTTGATTGTGATTGCTGAGTGATGTTATGCAATAACGTGTGAAATGCAGGCGCGTCAGGACTTGAGGTAAGTGCACGAACCCTATTGGTTGTGATTGGGTGTTGTTTGTGATTGACTATCTGCTAAGTGAATTGTGGTGATTCACTGCCTAGGGCTCGGGACTGGTATAGTTGGCCTAGGTTTTTAATTCCCGATGAGAATTATAGCAGGTAAGTGGGTGTTGTGAACCCTTGAACCCTGTGAGGTTGAGTAGTCGAGGTAGAGGTCGAGGTTGAGGTCGTGTAGGTCCGCAAGTTGGAGTTGCAGAGGATCCCAGATGGGATGAGATTTTGAGGGCACTCGAGGAAGTTAGAATTTTAATGGGAAGGCAAACTGAGAAGCGAAATGCTACTGTTGCTACTAATGCTGAGGCCGCTGTTGTCGCCGCCAATGGAAGTAACGGGAATCGTGGGCATAATGGAAATGTTGGGAATCAAGGTCAAGGGTAAGTTAATGCAGTCAAACAGATGCGTCAGTTGGTTGGAAAATTTTTGAAACTTAAACTTGCAAGGTTCGATGGGAAGATGTGACCCGGAGGCTACATTACTTTGGATAGAAAGGACTTAGAAAAATAGGCTTTGAGGTATTCGGGTGCACTGATGATGAGAAAGTGACCCTGTGTGTATATCAACTCTAAGGAAATGCAAGTGACTGGTAAAAGGACCCCCAAAGTAGGATATTTAGAAGGGCATAACTCCAAGCTGGGGAGTCATTGTCGAGGTCTTCAATGAGGAGTACATTCAGAGAGTGCGCGATGACAGAAAATGATATAGTTTCTTTGGCTTTGCTAGATTCGGATGTAATTGATCAATACGAGGTCGAGTTTATAAGGTTGCCTAAGTACGAACCAAGGATGGTCAAGGACCATGTGGATAGGACAAGGAGGTTTCGGGATGGATTGGAACTGGAATTCCGCAATCAGTTAGTACTTTTGAGTCTTAAGGGATGGTAATAAGCTATATGACAAGGCTTAAACGGTTGAAAGGGATATGAATGAGAGGGTTAACGTATATGGATCGCGGTACACGCCAGCTAGGGACAATGGGAACTTTGGGAGGAAGCTTATGACCGAGAACAAGAAACTTGTCCCTTCGTTAAGAAAGAACTTTAGAAAGACGAACTACTACTCCAACGCCACATGTCGGCCTTGTGGAAAGGGGCATAGAAATGACTATTGCCAAGGTAGAAGTGGAGCATGTTGTGGATGTGGTCAGCAAGGTCATTAAGTGAGAAATTGCGGAGCCGACGGGTTAGACCACTAATGCAATCATAGCGATTGCAAGTAGGATATTAAGCGGGAGCTTCCTCGCAGAATAATCAGAATTGACCATTGACGTAAGGAAAGATGTACGCTGTGGTGGGGAAGGAATCAGAGGATGTGCCGCGAAAGTCTAAAGGCGTTACGTGTTGATATTGGGTGCAATAGGCAATGATTTTGAAGTTATAACTCTAATGGTCATGTACGACTTATAATTACTTATGGTGGATAGGCGCAATCGATTTATGGACTTCTGATTTACTAGTGACATTCTTGGACGAGTTTGGAAGGAGGAGTTATACTTGGAAATTTCGGATCTTGTAAAGAACCGAGGTGATTTGTTTTGGGAGACTGTTGGATCGAAATTAGATGGATTGAGCTTTGTCTTTGAGGTAAAAAAAAAAATCAATTTGGGACTGATTAGTTGGTTGAGGAATCAAGGCTAAAGGACATAGCCGAGGTATGTAATCTTCTCGATGGAATTGCCGGGATTGCCACCTGATAGGAGAGTCGAGATTGTGATTGAGTTGGCCCCAGGGACAAAACCGACCTTGGGAGCGCTCTACAAGATATCACTGTCGGAATTGAAGGAATCGAAAGTCCAAATGTGAAAGCTATTGGATAAAGGTTTTATTCGTTCGAGTGCGTCTCCACGGGGAACGCCGGTTTTATTCGTGAGGAAGAAGAACGGATCGTTAAGGTTATGTATTGACTACAGACAGTTGAATTAGGTGACCATTAATGATAAACGCCCGTTGCCAAGAGTAAATGACCTGTTCGACCAGTTACAAAGGGCATCAATATTTTGTAAGATCGACTTGAGGACTAGTTATCACCAATTGAGAATCAAGAAGGAGGATGTGCCGAAGGCGGCATTTAGGACGAGGTATGGACACTATGAGTTTATGGTGATGTCGTTTGGACGGACGAACGCCCCTGCAGCCTTATTGGATTTAATGAATCAGGTATTCAAGGAATTTCTGGATCAGTTTGTGATCGTGTTCATAGAAGATATTCCGGTGCATTCGAAGAGTTCCGTCGAGCATGAGGTGATATTCGAGAAAGGAATTGCAGTGGATCTAGCAAAGATTGAAGTTGTCAGGAATTGGCTAAGACCAACAACAGTAATCGAGGTTCGGAGGTTCTTGGATCTGGCAAGTCATTATAGACGTCTCGTGGAAGGGGTTTTTAACGTTAGTAATACCGTGGACGCGTTTGCAAAAGAAGGAAACGAAATTTGAATGGACGGATAACTACCAAATGAGTTTTCAGGATTGAAACAGAGTTTGACAATCATGCCAGTGTTGACGGTCCCGTTAGGTTTGGGAGGATATAAAATCTACAGTGACGCGTCGTTAAGAAGACTCGAATGTGTGTTGACACAACGTGGAAGAGTAGTGCCATACGCATCGCGACAAATGAGACCGCATAAGCTGAATTATCCAACTCATGATTTGGAATTAGCCGCAATTATTTTCGCCCTTAAGATTTGAAGGCATAACCCGTGTGGGGAGAGATTTCAGATTTACATAGATCATCAGAGTTTAAAGGTATCAGTTTTCCCGAAAAGAACTTAGCATGAGACAGCGCCATTGGATGGAACTCCTCAAGGACTACAATTGCGATAGATTATGTATCACCCTGGAAAAGCTAATAAGGTAGCGGATGCACTGAGCCGGAAATCAAGCATTGCGCATATGATGGTCAAGGAGTGGATTCTGTTGGAGGGAGTTCGAGATTTGGAATTTAAGTTTGAAGTGAGTCATGTCTCGAGTCTACTTGCAGCATTGAGGATTGAACCAGAAATACAGACTAAGATTAAGGCTTTACAATCGACGGACCCAGATATTCAGAAAATTTTGAGTATGGATGCCACAAAAAGGAAGTCGGATTTTCAGGTATCCGAGGATGGGATTTTAAAGTTCCGAGGACGGTTATGTGTACCCAGTGATGCCGAACTGAAGGAAGAAATTTTGTCTGAAGCACACCGCAGCACTTACAGTATTCACCCGGGAAGTACGAAAATGTATCAGAATTTACGGCAACATTATTGGTGGAACGACATGAAAGTGGACGTGGCCAAGCATGTAGCTAAGTGTTTAACATGTCAACAAGTGAAGGCGCAACATTGCAAGCCGGGTGGAATGTTGCAGCCATTAGAGATTCCCGAGTGGAAATGGGAACACATCACGATGGGCTTTGTAATGGGATTACCGAGAAGTCAAAGGGGTCATGATTCGATTTGGGTGATAGTTGATCGATTGACAAAGTCAGCACATTTTCTACCGGTGCGAAAGGATTTCGCCTTGGAAAGGTATGCCGATTTGTATGTGCGACATGTAGTCCGTCTTCATGGAGTACCGGTGACGATTATTTCGAGACCGTGATCCTAAATTTCTTGCCGCCTTTTGGAAAAGTCTTCATGCGGCATTAGGAACGGTTACTGCTTTAGCACGGCCTATCATCCCCAGACGGATGGCCAGTCTAAAAGGACGATTCAGACTTTGGAGGATATGCTGCGAGCATGTGTTTTGGATTTTAAGGGTGGTTGGGAGGAACAGCTACATTTGGTTGAATTCGCCTACAACAATAGCTACCAGCAGAGTATTAGAATGGCACCATTTGAAGCGCTTTATGGAAGAGTTTGCAGAACACCGGTTTGTTGGGATGAAGTGGGTCAGAGGAGCATTACGGGTTCAGAGTTAGTGCAACAGTCGATTGAGACAGTCAAGGTTATCCGGGACAGACTCAGAACCGCACAGAGCCGCCAAAAGAATTATGCAGACCGGAGACGTAGGCCTTTGGAGTTTCAAGTAGGGGACCACGTTTTTCTCAAGGTATCGCCTATGAGAGGATTATCTCGGTTTGGTAAGAAAGGGAAGTTGAGCCCGAGGTACGTGGGTCCATTTGAGGTCTTAGAGAGAATAGGCACCTTGGCTTATCGTCTCGCGCTACCGCCAAAGCTATCTCACGTTCATAATGTATTCCACGTGTCTATGTTGAAGAAGTACGAACCGGACCCGACCCACGTGCTGAGCCATGAAGAAATAGACATGGACGACAGGGTGTCGTACGTGGAAAGGCCAATTCGAATCGAGGACAAAATTGAAAGAGTATTGCGGAACAAGAAAATTCCGATGGTCAAAGTGATTTCGGAGCACCATGGGACCGAAGGTGCGACGTGGGAAAGTGAAGAGTTAATGCGACACCAGTACCCCCACTTGTTTGTATAGTTGAGTTGGATTGCAAATTTCGAGGACGAAATTTTTGTAAGGGGGAAGAGTTGTGACATTCCGGATTTTGGCCCATTTTTGGGATTTATAAAACGTGTAATTCGTCAGTGCGCTTATAATAAAATCTCGCCCGGAACTGATCACTCCTGGGTTATTATTTTTAAAATTAGAGATTTCGCTAGAATCGCACTTGATCGAATTTGGCCGTTATTTAGACCCCGAACTTGGCAGTCGATTTTCGGGAGTTTTGGGACGAAATAAATTGGACGGTGTCAATATTATGGTAGCCAACGTTGAGATTTTCAGGAATGATGGAAAAAGGGGAGTGTTTGACCACGTGCAAATTTGGACTAGTAGACCTCCCTCGTTATAATTTGGTCTAATTAATTTGGCCTTTGTCCCTTTTTATATGCGAGACTTATTTTGGACCGGTAGATCGTTTTCGGTTTTGAATTTGGACCATCGGTTTGCAAATAATATTTGAATGTTCAAATTATTTCTTATTCTATTTTCTCTCTCTCCTCTCTCTCTCCTCTGGCCGCGTGCGCGTCGCCCATGCGGCGTCCTCACCCCATACCCCTTGAGACCTACTCTCCCCGACACTCTCTCTCTTCTCTTTCCTTCTCTTCCTTTTTCTTTTCTTCTTCTTCTTCTTCTTCTTCTCTTTCCTTGGCCGACCGGGTTCGCTCCGCTCTCGCTAGAGCTCGCCTGACCGTCGTCGACCCCCTCCGCCTCCGCCGGACGCCGCCCTACTAGCCGCCGACGCCGCCGTCCGCCTCGCACCGTCGTCGCGCCGCCGCGCCGCCCCACAGCTCCGTCCCGACTCGGTCTCTTTCTCCTACCCCTGTTTTCTTCCGCCCCGAGCTCGCCCCTACCCGGCTCGGCTCGCCGCCGCCCTAGGTCCCGGACGCCGTCGCCCTCTCCCTCGGCCGCCACGCCGCTCAGGTTTCCCTTCTCGAGCCGCCTTCGCCACCGCCATTCCGGCGGCAACGCAGGTGCCCTCCTTATTGCGGCAGGTGCTAGGCCGTGCCAGTCGCCGCCGTCCGGTCTCCATCGCCGCCGCCAGTGTCGCCCAGTGCAGCCCGGCTTGCCGAGCTCGCCCGGCCAGCAGGACCGGATGCTGCTCGCCGCCGTGGCTTGCCCCCGTCGCCGTCGATCGTCGTTCGCCAGCCAGCTGCGCCGGCGGCGTGCCCACCATGTTCGAGCTCGTCGGCCGAGTGTTCTCGGGGGCCGTGGCCAAGTCGCCAAGCCGTGGCCGATCGTTGCCCGTGCCCGTGCCCGCGCCCACGCCCGTGCTTGTGCCCGTGCCCACGCCCCGTGCCCGTGCCCGCGCCCACGCCCGTGCTTGTGCCCGTGCCCACGCCCGTGCCCGTGCCCGTGCCCACGCTCGTGCCCGTGCCCGTGCCTGTGCTCGCGCCCGTCGCCGTGCCCAGCCGTGACCGAGAATTTTGCCCGTGGCCGACCGCCGTGCCCGCGCGTGTGCCTAGTCCGCACTGTTCACCCGGGCCATTTTAGGCCCGAGCCGACTTTTCCCGGGCCAAACTTAGGTAAGTGGCTTCCTAAACCCTACCTAGTATTTTGGGTACTTTATTGACTTGTCTCGGGTTAGAACGGCTAGGACGTGTTTTAATTTAATTATATTATGTTACAATTGCGCTATTTAAATTGGATTAAATGATATGCTTGACTCGGGTAATGGTGTATGGCCGACTTGAACGTCGGGTTTGTGGACCGAGGTGGCGAATTGTGAATTGGGACCGAGTTGTGAGTATGGGTTGTTTGATGCAATTGGCGTGAAATTGATTTAATTGATTGGCGTGTGCTTGCTGTTTATTTTAAGCCCGGATTGATCGGAGGGCTACGGACTTGGGACGTGTTGACGGCGGTCCGTGTGAAGGCATGAATGGCCGATGTGCCAAATGGATTCGGGCTTGAGACGTGTTGACGGTGGCCCGTTAAAGGTGTGTTGGACCGGGACGTGTTTACGTCGGTCATTGGAATTTGAGCCCGGATTGATCGGAGGGCTACGGACTTGGGACGTGTTGACGGCGGTCCGTGAAAGGAAAGTGTGGCTTGGGACGTGTTGACGGCGGCCATTGGAATTGATCGAATTGTGAGGCTTGTGTGCCTGTGAGAATGAATTTGAGGCGCAGTGGCGCGAGTTGTGAGAAAGATGTTCGGACACGCATGTGATTTGAGTGTGACTGAATTGGCCGGTTGAGCGTGTGACTGAATTGGCTGGTTGAGCGTGTGAGCCGATTTGGCTGGTTGAGCGTGTGATTTAATTGACCAGTTGAACGTGTGGTTGCTTGGCTAGGCTGGTTAAATGCGAGTGAGATTGCGTGTGCCGGGTGACCGTGATATGATGATGAACTATTATTGCATTGTCATGTTTGGACTAATATGCAGGGTTGGCTCGTGATTCGAGGGCAAGGTAAGTATAATGATGTGAACTCTATATGTTATGGGGTAGTTTGCATGTACGACTTGTCTGGGTACGCATTGGCCTACGTGGGGTATAGGGGGTTGCTTATTGAGACTCGTTCTCACGGTTATTATATAACCATTTCAGATCCGCGACCGTGAGTGATGAGAGACGCTGCAAGGGTATCTCGGAGATCGAGGACGGGTCGAGTGTCCCGTATTTTGAGTTTCCCCTTTTGTAGAGGAGTTAAGTTCGCGAACCATTGTTCCTTTTGATGAGCGTTGTATGTATTTGCCAAGTGTAGGAATTACAGTTATTGTTTTGTGCTATTGTTACCCCTTGTCATTATTAATTGTCCGGGTTGTTTCTATTTGCTTCCGCGCGTGCCTAATCTCTGATGTTTGGGTTGGGTCGGCGACGCGTCCTGGGACGTCGCGTTCAATGATCGACCATCGCGGGATAATCGCGCGCTCGTAGGGTGCGGGGCGTGACACAGAGGGCAGAGTTTGAGAAAGATAAAGAGAGAAGACGAAGAGAGCACCGAGGGAGCATCCACTTCTTCATTCATCTCTCCGGAAGCCGCAGTTGTAGGTAGTGTTCAATACGATGTGTTCTTGAGCTTTAGAGGCTCGGATACCCGCAAGGGATTCACCGATTACCTCTATCACAGTTTGGTCAAGGCAGGGACTGTACCGTTTTGTGTGTTCAGGGACGATATCAGCATCCCAATTGGTGAGGAATTTGGTTCACAGATTTTCGATGCCATCGCACGGTCTAAGATTTCGATCCCTGTCATCTCCGAAAATTATGCTTCGAGCAAATGGTGCCTCCGCGAGCTCATTCGTATCATGGACCGCAAGAAGAGCACATCGCACATAGTGTTGCCCATTTTTTACAAAGTTGCCCCATCGGATGTGCGGCATCTAGCGGGAAATTTTGGAAATGCCTTCCGTTCAAAGAAGGAGCATTTTGACGAGAAGGATATTCAGGAAGGGCAATGTGCACTTAACGAAGTCAGCTACTTACATGGATGGGAATCTGAGAAAATTGCCGACGGGTACTTTACTGAACTTTTCTGTTTTGATAAGTAAGTTTTCTTCTTCATGCGTAACGATGAGATGCAAATGAATTACTTTCACTGCAAGCCCGTAAAAGATCCCCGAAATGTCCCAATAGACAACCATAATGCCTCGAAGACAAACTCCAGTACTCCCCAAGATGTCCCCGAAAACTAAACCAACGACAACTAAAACCAAAGCATTCCATAGCGCCCAAATATTTTACATTTGCCTCTGGTACAGAGCAAAAAAACAAAGAAACGACAATGCCTCCAGCCAATAGTACCAATCACGAAACAGTAGGCCTACAAAGGACTCCAATGCTCAGTCTTCCGAAGTTTGGTCACCACCAGATAAATTTGACCTCCTATAGCCAGCAAGGGTTAGCTCAGTTGATAAGGATCGAATACTTCGCATAGACTATGTCTAGGTTCATAATCTCTGATTGTTTTTGTTGTTTGACAGGCATGAGGGAGAATTAATAGAACGCGTGGTCAAAACTGTTGTAAGCAAGTTACAGGAAGATTTCCAGTTAGATGTGCCTAAGCAACTAGTTGGACTTGATGGTCGTTTGAAGAAAATTATGGATTGGATAGACAATCCTTCCATCAATGCTCGAATGATTGGAATTTATGGCATGGGCGGGATAGGCAAGACAACTCTTGCCAAGTGCATCTACAATCAACTCTCGGATAAATTTGTGCATGTCAGCTTCCTTCCAGATGTTCGAGAAACTATAAAGCGCCACGGTATTACGCATCTACAGAGTCAACTTGTATCGGATATACTAAAGGGGAAAAATGAAGTGTCTAGAGTTGATGATGGAATTAATATAATCAAATCTAGATTCCAAGGAAAAAAGGTTCTCATTTTTCTCGATGATATAGATGACAAGAATCAACTAGATGCTTTGGCTAGGGAACGTAATTGGTTTATGGCAGGAAGTATGATCATTGTTACGACTAGAAATGAAGCCGTTCTTGATCAATCTGAATTTGAAGTAGACTACAAGTATGAATTGGGTGAATTGGATGATGAGAATGCTTTGCTTTTGTTTAACAGACATGCATTTCGTATGGATCATTCTCCGTGGGACTTTATGGATATATCTCATTATATCATATCCACCATGGGTGGACTTCCCTTGGCACTTAAGGTTGTAGGTTCATACTTGTATAAAAAAACGAACCGAAAAGTATGGGAAGATGTGCTGAAGCAATTACAAAGCCAACCACATAAAGATGTCCAAAAGATGTTGGGAATAAGTTATGATGCATTAGAAGATGACCATAAGCAGATTTTTCTCGATATTGCTTGTTCTTTAATTGGCAAAGAGAGCAAATTCGCTATGTACATGTGGGAGGACCGTGGGTTTTATCCAAATCAAGGAATTGAAGAGTTGAAGTTGAGGTGCTTAATTAAAATTGGAGATCATGGTGAGTTTAAAATGCATGATCAACTGAGAGATCTTGGAATAAGCATTTTTTGCCAAGGGCACCTGCTTGGGAAACGTAGCAGACCATGGGACAGGGACTATGGGGGACTCTCAAGAGTACTAAATGATCAGGTAACATATGTCACACATTTCTTTTTCTCTCCCTCTTATTTTAATATATTTAATTTGATCTATTCTAATATCTCATCTAGGATGAGCAGATGCTCTTACTTTCTTGGAAAAAAAAAATCTATGTAAACATCCTTTTATGTCCATCATAGATTAATTGTAACAGCTAAATGGATTATAAGTATCTCAAGGATGAAAAGTTATATCATTTGATTCGATTTCATTGATATAAATTACATATGTAGAAATTTAATCTACAGTTAATTTAAGATCCTTTAACTACAATTTTACACTATAAATCTCATTTACTAGAAGCATGTAATTGTCATATCTAGTTGAAAATATTGATAATCTAAAGGACTACAATAATGAATCAAGATGAAGTATAAACATCATGGATCAAATAAATGAAGATTTTTTGGTTAAAAAAAGAGATAGTATGTACCAATTACAATAACAGATAATTCATTCAAAACAATAAGATTGGAAAAGTTTCACACTTGTCACATGTGCATGCTTTCTAGTATGGCCGAATGTATTTGTGGTGCTCCCGCAATTTAGGAATCCACTGTTTGATATATTTTTTTCTCCATTTTGATTTTGAAGAAATCCGTCCCTCTACTAGTTATCTCTATCTCTTTTCATTCTTTTCTCCTCTTAATAGATAAGATAGCAAAAATCCCCTTAAAGATATTTTTAGGAAAATCTACTATTTTTTAAGGTTTTTGTCACATTAACCTTGCTCATTTCTTATAACAAGCATTTCTATCCGCAATAAGTTGTTTTATATTATTTATATTTTTTGGGGGCAATGCCCTTTTGTGCTAGAAACCGCTAGACTAACTTGACTATTCAAAAAAGAAAGATTGACTATTTAGAGAAAATTTCATGCCTTTGTATTCATTATATATGATTTTCAGCATGAAGCCAATTTTTTCAACTATGTTTATCTTTTACTAAAATTATCAATGTTCACGCCACTTTATTATTATAGTATTGTCCATTTGGGATGCCTCACAGGCTCATGACTGATCAATGGCGAGGAATTAACCCTAGCAATTAACCAAGAGATGTTGGGCAAAGGAAACAGCTTTATATTCTTGATATAATTTGAAATAGTTCGTTCCTACAATTCAATATCACATTGTTTTGTTGATCCAATAACTTCTTATCGATAGCAAAAAGAGCACCCCATACATGTGTTTGAAAAATGAAAAAAAAAGTCAAATCTGTTTTGAACAGACAGAAATGTTGAAAGATGATAATTAGTGTAGGAAAAAAATTAAATGATTTTAACTTTGGAAAATGAAATACTTGTGGGACTAATTCCAATTGTATTGAATATATAAAATATGATTTTATCTATTTTGTTATATCCTATTTCTTTTTGTTTATTTTGGTTAAGTGTATGCAAATTGCCTGGAAGCTTTTGACGAAGATTTTTTTTAATGTAATTTACAGTTTAGATTGATGTACAAGTGAAAATTATGAAAGATGGTGTGGGATGATTACAACAATTTAGTGACTTTTCCTAAGATTAAACTTAAGAGAAATTATCTCCATTGCAGGTTTTTCACCGGTGAATATTTAAAGTAGAGATGAGTCAAACTGTAAAAGTGAATTAAACCAACCAAAAAAAAAAAATCTAACCAATTGAACTTTTGGGGGAAAGTATAGGTTTCATTAATAAAGTCAATCAAAGCCATATGGGATTTTTTTTTCAAACCATCTTCAACATATTAAATGATCTGTTTTAGCAGGAAAGTTAAAACAGTTTGTTTTGAAACAGTGCCATTCTCATGCACACGGACATATGTATCTTCACTTCCTTTTTTAGGAGGTAAATAAAAACAAGTGATATTTCTCCGGAAACCTTCTTCTTTTTTTGGGGTCGAACTGCAGAAACTTTCATATGGCAGGCTTTGCTAAAAGATATTGCCCAGCATCAACAACCTACATATAGTTCCATCCATCCATTAGAAAAACCCTAATCTAACCATATCACCGCGTTTAGTTATCTTGAAATCAACTTTTTATATTAAAAGATCTAAAACTTGTCACGAAAATGCAATTGAGTCCTAAAACTATCAAAAAGTGCAATCAAGCCCTAAAACTTGTCACGAAAATGCAATTGAGTCCTAAAACTATAAAAAAGTGCAATCAAGCCCTAAAACTTGTCACGAAAGTGCAACCAAGTCCTAAAACTTTCAAAAAGTATAATTAAGTCCTAAAACTTGTCACAAAAGCACAATCGAGTTCTAAAATTTTCATAAAATACAATCAAAGGAAGGACTTGTTTGGATCAATGTGACAAGTTCTAGAATTCAATTGCACTTTTTAAAAGTTTTAGGACTCAATTGTACTTTGTGACAAGTTTTAGGACTAAAATGTCATTTTTGAAAGTGTAGGACTCAATTACACTTTCGTAATAAGTTTTAGGACATCTAACACATTTATGCCAAAAAAAAAAGATACCTGTCGAAATCTAAAGAGTATATCGCTAACCAATGTCACCACATCACTTAATAAACATACTTTACCCAAAAAAAGAAGAAGAAGAAGAAGGTTTCAGGTTTCAAAGCAAGGATTCAATCTTGCATTTTGTCTCGTCGAATTCCTTTGCCATATCCAGACGAACACGGATAAACACAATTGAAAATCTTGCAGAGCTTCTTCTTGTTCGAAGACTTGTTGCAGAAAGCTTCAAGCGGTGACGTCAACGAACTCCTTTCTGAAGTAGGATGGCTTCAGTGCAGTGTCTTTGGAATAGATTCGTCTCTTTGGCCAACCAATTTGCATCTACCAGAATTAGCGGTGCTGGATTTAACAAACACCTGGGTCACAGAGGATTGGGAAGGATGGAGTTCAATCATGATGGTTTTATCCTCTTGCGATTTTTGGATTTGTTTGTGTTTAGTTGATCAACTTCTTCTTTTGACAGCTTCTCCTTATTTTGTATAGGCGGCGGAAAAGCGGTTACAAGTTCTCGATCTTGGAGTTTGCATGTATTTAAGATGTATGCCTGATCTCTCAGCTTTCACGCAGTTGAAGATTCTCATCTTGAGCAATTGTTGGCATATGGAGTTTCTCCACCCTTCTATTGGCCAACTCAAAAACCTCGTTTCCTTGAACTTGAGTAGCTGTTATAATCTCAATGAGCTACCAGAGGAAGTGGGCGAATTAAAAGATTTAGAAGAACTTCTATTAGATTGTGCTCTTGCTTGTACAAAGATTCCTACGTCTATTGGCTCTCTAAGGAAGCTGGAGACACTGAGCGCCTGCTCTTGTGATTCATTGAGAGAAATCCCTAGCTCAATTGCGGATTTACAGAATTTGCAACGTCTGGACTTGAGTGGTTCTGCGATTGAAAAGCTTCCTAGTGCTATTGGAAGGTTGACAAATCTGCGGACCCTACTTCTCCAATCATGCAATAGTCTGAAAGGGGCAATTCCAAGTGAAATCGGTGACTTGTCTTCGCTCGAGATTCTCGATGTGGCTTTTGTACCAATACCTGACCTGCCAGAAAGCATCCGGAATCTTTCTTCTCTCCAACGCCTTTGCCTATTGGGCTGTAAGAATCTCCGGTCGCTACCAGAGCTTCCTTCAGGCTTAACACATCTGTTGGTCTCTTGTCAAAGTCCCAGGTTGCCACAGCTTTCTAGCCTAATCCACCTAGAAGAACTTCATCTTCAGGCGTGCAATCTACTTCAGTACATCCCCGAGCTTTCACAATTAAATCGTCTGAAACGCTTACGCGTTCAGCATTGCAATTACCTAATTGAAATTGAGGGCCATGATTATTTGGAGTTCTTGGAGGGCATATTTATAGATGACTGCAATTCCATCAAAAGGCTTCTTTGTCCAAGATCACGGTGTTTGAAGCAATTAGTGGCTGTCAGGTGCAGTAATCTAGTCGAAATTCAAGGTCTTGACGGTGCAAAGTTCTTAGAAAAATTGGATTTTACAGGATGCAAATCAATGGAGGCTTTGCCAGATTTGACGGGATGTGAGAAGTTACGATCTCTAGTAGTTAAAGACTGCAAGAAACTTGCTCAACTTCGGGGACTTGAAAAGTTGGATTTAGTTGATTTGGATATTTCTGGTTGCGAATCATTGGAAACGCTACCGAAATAATCTAGAAAGAATACGCATCCTTGGAAATTATGTAGAGATCCGTCTCGATATCTCTCTTGAAATATTATACTGTGGTGATAATCATGTGATGAATCTTATACCCATATGACAACAGTGAGACGAGTCATGAGTCCTTAACAGAGGTAGATAAGCAGTAAACTATCGTCTTTCTTCTGAGATTCATGACCTACTTTTCATCACTATCTTTTTTTTATGAGAAAGTTTTCCTTGATAGGGTTCTACACTTTCCTAATTTGCTAGTCGTAAGTAATTGAAGGAGTGGTGGATTTGGTCGTAGAAGCTTACATGATGCTTCAGCCAAGATCAAAATGTCAATAGAAGGCATTGGTCATCTAGTAAGATTCTTCATCTTTTACCGGCCAGCGTGAGCGAATAGAGTGATACTTTTCTTGAAGCTATTTTTTTTTAAGAATGATTTGCTCCACACCGGCTATCTACTTGATTAATTTTGGAAACTTCGGATTTGCCTCCGTACCATTGTCGTTGATTACGTTATAGAAATGTTTTTCATTTATCGTTCCATTGGCAGCTTTTGTAGACTGCAAACAGATTAGCGGCTTGTGAGACAAGAATGAAAATATCAACATAGGTGAACAAGAATTACCTAGTGATTAACGGTTTCCCTCTCAGTAAACCCGGAATTTGAAATTTGCATCTAGAGGCCAATGATTTTCTGCCACTCAATATTGTAAACTACACCCAGAATTTCCCTATCTCCAAAATTCATATTTTCCTTGAAAAAATCCTTGGCCATTTTGAGTTCCTTTGTGAGTTCTTTTGTGTGCCAGATTGACCAATGGCAAATGTCCTGTTTGGGACAAACGCCTTCCGATTTTTCGTGATGAACGAAAGCCCTGTCAAGTTTCTTATTGTTCCCTTGATGTTCCTCTTGAACCTCCTAAGAAGAGCATCAATTCCCAGTAAGTATGATGAACTGAGCTAAAATAAAATTCAAGGTTCAAGTGTTTCTGGTTGGTGATAAAAATAAATGTTAAAGTTGTTTTGGCTAGTCTATCATATATGATTGTAGACCACCTCAACATTACCAGTAGTCAAACTGATGTTTTGAAAGATTGTCAAGCAAGGTAACTGGTGCTGCTTCTATGACAGGTTTGGTTGGTCCATGTACTGATCAAGGCTTACTTTGGGACTTCAATTCAATGAGCTGTATCGATGACCTTTTGCATAATTGGGACAATTATTTGCTTGTCTGTGAAAGAATTTGCTAATTAGTTTGCATCCCGTTTGATCCTACTGTTGTCATGGAATTGTTTTATCACATGACTGATTTGGGTGAGGCTAACTTGGCTGAGTTACTTCAAATTCCATACTTGAGACCAGTCAAAATGAAGAAAAGGGATTTGCAGAGGAAACATCGGCAACAGCTGAGGACCATCTTGTGTGTCAAACTTGAAGAGGCTCTGGGGCCACCTGGAGTGTCCTGAGGAAGTTTTGATGCTTGTGAAGATTCTAACATTTGATCTGGTCTCAACAGCACATAACTAAATGATTGTAAATGTAAATTGAATCTGCTTTCTGTATGCTCATTTGGTTCTTCCTCTCTGTTAGTCAAATATGTCGCTGCTGATTTTTTTGTATGTTACCCTGATGCAGAGTTGTTTGATGTAGTTGCGTTCTAATGATATCTCTCCTGAACTCGACGAGGCTCTGCAAAGGGAGGTATGCACTAGAGTGTCCTGAGGAAGTTTTGATGCTCGTGAAGAAGAGGAATTTTGCAGAGGGAGTATCAGCAACAGCTGAGGCCAACTTGGAGAGGCTCGTGGGCCAACTAGAGTGTCCTGAGGAAGTTTTGATGCTTGTGAAGATCGAAACACTTGTTCTGATGTCAACAGTACATACCTGAATGATTGTGAATGTAGGTTTTCAATTGAATATGTTTTTCATATGCTCATGAGGTTCTACCTATCTGTTAATCAAATACATACTTGCTGATTTTTCTGTGCGTTACCCTGATGCAGAGTAGTTTGATGAGGTCGCGTTCTAATGATATCACTCCCGAACTCAATGAGGCTCTGCAAAGGGAGGTATGCATTGCCAATCATACCATAAATATGAAAGACTTATTTGAGTGCTTATACTATATGAGCTCTGGAATTTCGCCTCAAAATCAGTATACAAGGATGCATGATGACAATCTCCTCCATTTTCTGTAAGTTTATTAGTGCGATAATATCCTTTGAATGTTGTCATATAGGTTTCTGATTAAATAAGCTCAGTTCTCATGTATGGCACATTGAATTTGTGAAGTTGAAACTCGCCTCCTAGCAAACTATACCATGTTGCTGAATTTTGCTAATCGGATATTGCGAAATAACTCGGTAACAAGCACATCTTTATGTTCTGTAGTTTAGGCACTTCAACTTTTCAGCATAATCTTATTAACATCAGTTCTGTTCCTAAACACAAACAAGGGAAGTGTGCTAATTGCTTAGTTCTCCCAAATATGTTGTTTTCTTTTTCATCGGTCAGCGAATGAAGTCTCCGTTGATTGTGGTCTGACTGCGAACTAATCAGAGACACCTAGAATGTGTGGCAAGATATGTCCTAGAATTTGTTGTAGGTGCAAATGATGTTTATTCATTTGTACCTTACCTTTCATGGGGTTGATTGTGACGCTACGATATCAGATATCTTCATTTATTGCTAATTAGTCAATCCTATCCTTCTTGTTTAGATTCAAGCTGCATTTCATTCAAATTCGGAGAAAGTCCCCCAACGCAGCACGAAGGAGATGCGGGCAGGAATGAGCCGTCATCATGAGACATTATGGAAAGGCGTCACAAAGTTTCTCGTTATTGGCGTTCATCGTGTGCTCCCGTGTTTGTTAAGACTCTCCATAGGATACTTGATAGAAAGCGACCTCTTCTCACATGGTGTAGTAGTCCTTTGTGAGATTTGACATCGTGACATTTGTTAGCAAAGCCGAATCTCAAAGTGCTTGCAGGAAGACCGCGTGTGCAGGTGGCTCCGTATGTGAATTCAAGCATAAAATCGAAGTTGTCAACAAGATCACCGTTCAGATGTCCACTTCAAGCAAGAATTTTGTTATTGGGAGAGACACCTTTTTCATGGAAAAAGCGAATGCCATGGAATCAACAAATAATCTATCAATCGCAGCCAAGAGTTTCAGTGAAAAGGTTTCCAAGAAGACGGTCGTTTCTCAATTGGAAGAATTTTGAACACCAAATAGAAGTGTTCAGTAGTTTCTCTGGTCTGGTTACATCAGAAAATGCATATATTGGTATTTTGCAGTCACTTCAATCGTATAATCTCAAACTGATTCACCCACGCATGAATCTATGAAGTAGAATAGACACAGCCATACATTTTCATACCTGAAAATAAATTTTCTGTGGCGTTGGCTACGGTAGAAGACTGATAAAAATGTTACGAAATTTTTTGGAAGGGAGAAAATGGCCCCTCCGAAAGGTTATACTCATTCGGTTTCAATCCAATACTAAGATTACAATGGTGGAATTTTAATTGTTAAAAGCTACTCATAGTCTGATTCGCTGCTTGTGGGAAAAGTGGCAAAAAAGTCATAAACATTTTGCATTGGTGCCAATTCATTCCTAAACAATTTGCATTTGTGTCAATTTAGTCCTAAATTTTTTTTTGTGCCAATTCAGTCTAAATATTTTGCATTTGTACCAATTCAGTCCTAAACCTTTTGTCTTTGTGCCAATGCAATCCTTTCGATCAATTTTGGCCGGATTTTGCTAACATGGACCCCGGCCGGTCACCGGCGCTGACGTGGACAACTTTAATAATACTTTAATATTATTTTAAATTTTTTTTCTTTTTTTTCCCCTCCTCTCCCTCCTCCCTCCGGCCGGTAAAAAAGAAAATAAAAAAAATAAAAATTCAAAAAAATATTAAAATATTGTTAAAGTTGTCCACGTTAGTGCCGATGACCAGTCAGGGTCCACTTCAGCAAAATCCTGCCAAAATTAGCCGAAAGGACTAAATTGGCACAAAGATAAAATGTTTAGGACTGAATTGACACAAAAAAAAGGTTTATGACTAAATTGGCACCAATACAAAAGGTTTATGACTTTTTTGGCACTTTTCCCCGCTTGTTGTCTACTTCAACTTTGACTCAAATTTTACGAAGCTCAAGACAAGGCCAAGTGGCTTGTTAAGCCAAGTTGAAATCTATAAGTACTAAATCATATAATTGCAGGTCATGTTATTGAGTCAAAATACTTGTTAAACACACTTAGCACAAAATAGTTTAATTTTCAGAATATAGATCAAACATAACCGGAGAAAAGTCGCAAGTACAGTCAATGTATTGACTGTGCAATTTAATTACTTAGTTGCTTAACTAATGCCTAGTCAAAATGCTTTTCATTTGACTGCTTATACAACATTAGTCACGATCTTATTGACCGAATTGATTCGAAGATGGAAAATTGTGGATCGACTGTAGTTGTATGAACATGTTGAACCAATCGAACTGATTCGGTTGTGTGCACGGGGTACCCCCTTTTCTCTTCTACTTCGATTTCATGCTAGCAATTTGCTTCGAGCTTGTTTATGAAAGTTCTATCACATTTTACATCAAAATCCTATAAATAACAGCCATTTGAACGTAACTACGTGAGTTTCCAAAGGACAGGAGAAGCTTTGCTTCGGGCTCTTCGGTTTTCCTCATTTTTGTGACTCCAAGCTCGACGGAATGGTACTAGAAATATGAAAACTGTCCTCATATCAGAATGGAACTGTAAAAAAGCCTTTCGGTTTATTTAACGCCTATGAACAGCATGTTAGAATATGTAGCTTTTGGTAGTTCGCCAGATGAAAAATCATATAATGAAGAGGAATCGAAATAGACAAATTGAGGAAATTACAGGGTCAAAAGAACCCCGAAACGGAGGCTTGAACTACATTTGCCCCCAAAAAAAGAGCTCTAAACAACAAAATCGACCATGAAGTAGATCTAAACGCCAATTCCTACGAATAAAAGCAGTCTTCTTATTTTGCAATCAGCATCATGTTGTTGAACGAAGAGCTTACTGAAAAACAATTTTTTCTTTAATGTAATCTTGAATTTAGTCCTAAACCTACATCAAGTTAACGGGATTTGCTAGTCGGCTTCTAATCCGGTAAGTTTGAATAGTGGACAAAAAAATAATGCTACACGTGGATTCAGGAAAATTACCAAAAAATTCCTAAACCTATTGCAATTGCCCAAATTCAGTCCTAAACTTTTTTCTTTTTTTTTGCCAATTGAGTCCTAAACATTTTGCATTTGTTTCAATTCAGTCCATTCGACTAATTTTGGCCGGTTATCGCTGACGTGAACAATTTTTAATAATATTTTAACATTTTTTCGAATTTTTTATTTATTTCTTTTTTCTTTTTTTTCCTTCTTCCTCCTTGGTCGCCAGCGAGGCTTGCTGTAATGACCTGGGTCCCACTCGCAAGATATTGTCAGCTTTGGACACTAAGTCCTTACGGTTTTGTTCCTCCGAGGGCAGTCTATACTACCTCCAGAAAAGGCCTCTTTTAAGTTAAGGCTTCTCAGGCCTTTATAAGTTACCCAGGACTCCCCCCCTCAAATGATGTGGGAGAGGAGAGACGTGCCCTCTTGGCCATCCTAGAAGTTTGCCAGGAGCTGCTCCTTGTCCGGGTCCTTGGACCCCGGCAACCACTCTCCCCCCTCATCGGACCGGTTGTCACACTCGCCTTGGCCGAATCTGGCCTGGACCGACCTTGCCAACCATTGGCAAGGGCCGACCTCGCTCGATAGTGGATTGTCAAGCTAGGTCGAAGATGGCGAGGTCGACCCTTGCAAGATACCGGTTTGATCCTATTGTTGTCATGGAATCGTTTTATCACATGATTGATTTGGATCTGGCAAACTTGCCTGAGGAAATTCAAATTCCATACTAGAGATTGATCAAAATGAAGACAAGGGATTTTGCAAAGGAACCATCTTGAACAGCTGAGGACCATCTTGCGTGCCCCCCAAATGATTTTAAATGTAGTATTTTCAATTGAATTTGCTTTCTGTATGCTCATTAGGTTCAACCTCTCTGTTAATCAAATATCTTGCTGTTGATTTTTTTGTACGGCACCCTGTTGCAGAGTGGTTTGATGTAGATGCATTCTAATGATATCGCTCCTGAGCTCGATGAGGCTCTGCAGAGGGAGGTACGCACTACTAGTCGTACCATAACAATGCAAAAATTACTTGTGTGCTTATACTATATGAGCTGTGGAATTTCACCTGAAAATCAGTACGCACTTGCATGAGGACAATCTCCTCCATTTCCATCAGTTTATCAATGAGATACTATCCTTTGAATGTTGTCATATAGGTTCCTGATTTTTTTTATTTGATAAGCTCAGTTCTCATGCGACGTCGATTCTGTAAAGTTGAAATTCACCTCCCAGCAAACTACCCTGCATTGCTGATTTTGCTAATTGGATATTGCAAAATAACCAAGTAACACATTTCATCTTTCTATTCTGTAGTTTAGGCATTTCACCATTTCGGCATAACGAAGGTTTTGCTAATTGCTTACTTCTCCCAAGCCTGCTGTTTTCTTCTTCATAAGCCAGCTAATGAAGTCTCTGTCCATTGCGGTCTTGGTGCAAATGATGTTTATGCGTTTGTACTTTATCTTTCATGGTGTAAATTGTGATGCTATGATCGAGGATATCTTCGTTTATTGATAATCCCTCTTGCGTAGATTCAAGCTGCATTTCATAAAATTCAGAGAAAGTCCCCAAACATCACAGGTTGGAGATGTGGGCAGGAATGAGCTATGTCATGAGACATTGAGGAAAGGCATTCCAGTTCTTCGCTATTGATGTATACCATATGCGCCTTTGTTGTTAATACTCTTCATAGGATTCTTGATTAAAAGGGACCTCTTCTCATGGGGTGTAACAGTCCTTTGCAAGCTTTGACATCGTGCTATTCTTTAGCAAAGGCTGAATCTCAAAATGCCTGCAGGAAGACCGCATGTGCAGGTGGTTCTGTGAGTGAAGTCAAGCATAAAATCGAATTTGTTAAGAAGATTACCGTTCAGATATCCACTTCAGGCTACAATTTCAAGACTGGAAGAGAACTTTTCTCATGGAAAAAGTGAATGTCATGGAAGAACTTTGAACGCAAAATAAAATTGCTCATTAAGGGACAATCACCTCTCTGGTCGGGTTACGGTTTTTTTTTGTTGACATTTTGCTATCACTTTAATTGCATAATATAGGCCAAACTTGATCATTTACGCATGGAACTACAACAAAGCAGAATAGACGCAGCCATGCATTTTCATACCTGAAACCAAATTTTCTTGGGCGATGGCTACTGTTTAAGACTAAAAACTGTTGATAAAAGTTTTGGAAGGGTGAAAATAGCCCCTCCCAGAATTTTTACTCGTTTGGTTTGAACCAAAACTCTGAAAGGTCATCTAATTGGTTAATATTCGGACTCTATTATGCCAAATTGTGGTCATCGGTCATGCATTCAAGTTTCAATTGAAGCAATTTCTTTGGGGCCACTCTCAGATATTCCTAGAGGTGGTGAATGAGTGGGCGGGATTGGGCTTGGGTAAGTCACCACTGGGTTCAATCCAAATTTACTCATTTAACTCAAATTGACCAATTTATTTTCTAAACAATTTAGATGATCCATTTTTCTCTACACCAATTAAACATTTAGCAAATTTAAAACATACTAAAAGTAACGAAAAAACATCTCCACAGTTCCATTGTGCCCCTTCCTCCGCTGCCGGCACCACCGTGAAACCACCATGAACCGCTGCAGCACCCTGGCCACCACCCTCTTCAACTGCAGGAACGTCATTTGTCACTCCCAGGGAACCCCACTTCTCACCACCGTCCTCCGCAGCCCTCAGCCAATAGTCCGGCTTGAAAAACCGCTCAAGCATAACCTAACTGAGCACTTTCAAACACTACGATCAGCAAAATCGGAAGCAGTCGAAGCGACAGAAGAGGTCGTGTTCTGCATAAACAAGATGGAAAGGTTAGAGAGGCGTACACCGACAGTGAGGCCTCAGCAATTAGGGTTTGGCTGGTATTAAAATGAGCAATTGAAAAGTCAAACCATAATTGTTCATCCAAAAAGACGTCATTTTGTAGACTATTTGTCCATGTCAGCTTGCTGAGGAGAAATTCATTAATTAAGTGGCAATTCACGTAGGTTCACTAACGGCCTTTCAAGACGGAAAGTTAAGGGTGGTAAATTTGGGACAAAAACAAAAATTGGGGTTTTCTTATGAGACAAAAAAAGTTTTGAATATAATTAGGACAAC